TATTTATGTAAGAAATACATATTTTTTTGAGGAAAACAAGTACATAACTATCTGCCAATTATTTATATTTCTAAATATTTCTACGGGCAGCTTAATTTGGAATTACTAAAACATATTCCCGCCGTAAACTAATATAAGAGCGTTTACATTACTACTTTAGTGATTTAATCGCTCTTATATCAGTTTACAGAAGGAGTATTATGACATATGATTCTGTTTGTTTGTTCTCCTTTTTCTTCTGTCCAACAGGTAGATGGTCAAGTACTCAAGTACATTTTGAGGATGGAAACTCAAGATTCCTGGAACATGCCGGGGTTATCTATCTTATTCTTATCCTCTCTCTTATCTCAAGTTAACAAATGTACGCAAACTGCCGGACCGGAGAAGCATTTGAGAGAAGCAAGTCTGTGGCACCACTGGCTAAGATGTTTCTTGAAGCAGTCACAAAGAGCATTAGAATATCTCACATGTGTGGCTGTGTCATGTTGCTGCAACATGCACTCAACCATCCGCATGACATGAAGAAGCATAGCTTGAGGGCGGGAACAAGGGGTGATTCTGGCCACATGCATGCATGGACATGGTGCCCCTGGAATATTAACAAGCCAGAGGTTGCCTCGCCTGCCCAGCCACCAATCAGTAGCCTGTAGCTGGATGGATGGATCATGGATGGAGGAGTGGTTGCCCATGAGCAAAGCCAACAACATCTCAACAACAACACCACCTTGCCGCACCCCTAAGGTGAAGCTGAAGGTGAGTGGCATGCAACAACAGACTTGACTAGTGGAGAGGCCATTGACTATCTCTCCCCCTTCACTCCACGCCACTAATCTGAAATTTCTGGACCAATCATACTCCTCCATCAGCAAGCAAGCTCTCACCAAGTCTGCTTCCATGATTAATCTATTTTTTAAGAAAGAAAAATCACAAGCTTGCTCCAACTTGTCAAATCCCAGCTACTACCCTGCACAGGTGTTGATTAATCAGCTGCTGCCTTGTTAACTCCCATCATGACTAATTACTGAACACACATAGATAAGCAAAGAAATAAACACATATTTTTTTGAGAACATCTTGTCATGCCACCCTCTGAGATCTCTTTCATGCATGAGTGTGACGTGGGGAGTGGTGGCCCGGCCAGCAGCCACTTGTTGATTAATCTATGGTGGCGGCGATTATCATCGGCGATCTCCTCCTCCTCTTGCTGCTGCTGGTGCAAGTGATGGCAGTGCTGGCTACTGTCGAGTGTCCCACTACTACTTCACTCGTCATCCAGCAGCTGAGCTCGATCCATCCGGCACCGCTGGTGTGTGTGCATGGTGGGTGTCCATGAACAGCACCACATGTTTGCCGCTCCCGTCTCCATCTCCATCTCGCCCCTAATATATATTCCCAGCCACTACTGGCAGATTTCATGCAGTTTCTGTTCCCTCTCTCTCACATGGGTACGTAGGTGTCCACGTCGTCATGGGTGGATGGTTACAGGAGCCCAACGTCCACCGCCCAACGCATATTTTCGCACCGCTTAACTGTTGCTCATGACTTCTCTATGCTGATCGACCGACTAAACGTAAGTGTTCCCCTCTCTCTATCCGTAGTTTGATCAAAGAGAAGTAAAAACACGCACCAATCTTTCTGGTTAATTTGGTGAAGCCTGGACAGTTTACACTCAACTTTTCTTTGCCAGTTAAGCAGCTATATGTACTTGTCACGAGGTTTGTTACAGAAGCCCGACCACAATTCTTAATTAGCAAGGTAACTTTTTGCGTTCGATCTTCTCACCAACTATCAAGTAAGTACAAAAACACACTGGAAGGGCCTACAAGTGAAGTCCTCCTGCGAGCAAGGGTCGGGATCAATCACTTCTCCGTGGCAGATGAGGCAGATCGGCAACGGCGCCAACGGGAGGCAGGAGCCCGTTCATGGCAATTAGGTAGCTAAGTTAATTGAAGTCACTCAATTGGAGTGTCACGCCATCTGAGCTTGGCAAGCAAGTTGATCATGGCTCACATCAAGTAGTACTAGCCAGTCCATTAATAATAGTTTACTAGTATTGACTTTTTAGAGATGGTGGCTTGGCATGTTCATGGTCTGGTGGTACTACTGAGGAAGAATAATATAAAAGCATTTCTGAATCTTCTGGATGATCAGATAGGCAGACACCCACACACTGATCACTCATGGGGCTGCTTAAGCGGCCTGGCTAGCCTAGCAAACACAAGCACTGATTAATGATAGATCCTTAAAGCTAGGGTTCCACATGTGGGACAACCCGGCTAATTGCCAATCATGGGCAGGATCATGGGCGCAGGCCCATGGCCGCCCATCTTTCCTGCACTGCTTAGCTGATTAATAATTAAGCTATGGCAAAGCAAGCAAGGAGGAAAGGCATCCATTACTGCTCACTCACTCTGGATTGCAGTGCAAGTGAGTGACCAGCTAGTGTGGACATGCATGCATGTGTTTCTCTCTCTCTCTCTCTCTCTCTCTATGTGATGAGAGAGATCTAGAGAGAGAGGGGGGGGGGGGAGAGGAAGTGTGCTAGAGAGAGAAAGGAAGCTAACCGGCTTCCAACTAAGCCAAGTGATGCCTTGCTTGCCCCCACCACACACCACAGCATCATCCACCCAATTGGACGGGTGCAATTGTTTTAGGGGGGGTTTCTTGTTGCCCCACACAACAAACAACGATCCAGGATCACGTCAAGAATCGCGGTTGATTAATTTAATTTAATCACTCTCAACCATATGTATCCCTCTCCCCTCTCAACCGTTGACTTGTCTCACACAACATGGCACATCAATCGCGTCTTCAAACTCAAGAAAAAAGATTGGATATATCCGAGATAATCTAGTTAATTGGTTTCATGATCATATTATTCATAAATGTATCAAGAAAATTTAATTGGTGTATGTGTGCATGATAAGTTAAATACTGTTATGTAGATGAAACTGTCACTGCTATTTTGTACGTAGGTGAGTACAATTTTTTTGTAGACGTGTATGGTTATTGGTTATGAAGTATATGTCATGTACGCACGTATACGCACAGGATTAGCGATTGATGTGTGACTCAATTAATTTGGCGAGGACGGCACTGCATATATGTTATCTTGATTGAGATAGTGTAGCCAAAGCAACCTATAGTACCACCAACCCAAATCTAGCCATCCCGAGAAGTAAGAAAAGGAAGTACCACATAATCAGTGTGACCTCTAACTAACACCATATTAGATGGGCCATTTGCATCAGACGATTGGAGATTTTTGTATAGCTTAAAATTCAAGCAACAATTAGTTGTTCCTATTAATAAACAGTGCAATTAAAAGGGTAGGTGATCGATGGACAGGTCGGAAACAAACATTTTGGGTGAGGGGTGCAAATACTTTAGAACAAATTAATAATTGCAAGTATTTTTGAGTTTTCTTTTCTGGTGTGTGTGTGTGTGTGTGGCCACTGGACACTGGCTGGGGACAAATGCATCTGCAGCTGCACCACCACCACTACCTCACTACCTCCTAATTGTAGTTGCCAACTGCCAAGCAACCCAGCTAGCTAGCTGTTCATGATCAGTGGAATTATATTGCTCAACACAACTGTCTGTCTGTGTGGTTTTTCTTGAACAAAAAATAATAATAATAGTAGAAATTAACAAGAAACCATCAAACCTGTACTACAAATAAGAGATCGCGTGGATTTGCGAGGATTTTTCACCAACTAAATTAATAGCCACATGCTTATTATATGTATGTTTTGCTGAAAAAGAAAAGTAGTGGAAGAAAAGTAGCTAGGGGATGGAATTAGTTTGAGCTGGGTGCAGAGAGGCTGATCAAATCCAGGCTTGCAGTGCAGCACCATGACACCCCAGGAATCACACATGCACAGAGGAATATTGAGCTTGCTTCCATCCCTTCTTTTCTTGGCTTGTTGCTGTTGCTACTACTATAGCACCTAATTAACAAATACTAGTACTCACTCACCACTCCTCCAATTGGATCCCTTTCTCTCCCCCTCTACCTTCTCTCCACATGTAGTGGCAACCAAACATACTCCAAATTTATTCATCCATCCATTCATTCATTAACCTAGCTAGCAAGCTTGCTTGCTTGCTAGCTTTGCTTCACCACAAGATTAACCTTCACTGCACACTGCTTAATTAGGATGCACAGAGAGAGAGTGGCTAATTAAGCAGTTGGAGAGAAAAAAGAGGATGGGCAGCCTAAATTAAGGGCTGCTATTAATTCAGAGCAGTAGTGGCTAGACATGTTTTGCACATGAAAGAAATTAGGCGGGTAGCCATGCATGGCCATGAATTGTCCACAAGTGGGCTAGCTTAAGTGAGGAGGGGATGGGCATTAAGCCAGCTCCATCACACCCATAATATCGATCCCCTCCCCTAGCTATTTCCACTCAGCTCCCTTGGCCACCGGTCTATTAACCCCTCTACTATTACTAGTTTCCACCCTCTCTAACAATAGCACTTAGCAATTAACCACCAAAACTACTCCCTCTCTCTCTAGACAAAGAGAGAGATGGGAAGGTTATAAGAGTTGAGAAGAGATCAAGAGAGGCATCCAAAAGACAAGACAAGAGAGAAAGCTAGGTTTTTCTCCAGACAGCTCTCTCTTGTTCTCTCTCTCTCTCTCTCTCTTTGTGTGTTTGGGGGTGTTAATTTTCTCTCTCATCTCTAGAGAGAGAAAGCTATCTATCTATCTAGCAAGGCTTGCTTGCTTGTCCATTGATTAGAGGCCAAAAGAAACTTCCATTAATTAGAGTAGTAGCTGCCGGATCCATCTCTTCTCTTCCCTTTGTTATATGTGCAAGGCAAAACGCCTCTCTCTCTCTCTCTCTCTCTCTAGCCAGCGTAGCGTAGCTCCACTTGTCCCTCTCCTCCCGCCATAAAAACCACAGAGCCAGCCTCCCTCCCTACCTGCCTGCCTGCCTGCCACTCTCTCCCTCTCCCTCTCCCTCCCTCTCCACGCCTCTCTTTGCTTCGGCGACATGCAAGCGTCGGCCATGGAGCTCGTGCTCTTCCGGGAGGAGGGGGCCGTGGACGATCGGCTGCAGCAGCGCGGGGGTGCCGTCGTCAAGCGGAAGCGCACCAAGAGGCCGCGCCACCAGACGCCGCCGGTGGCCGCCATGGCCTGCTCCTCCGCGTCCTCCTCCGAGAGCACCACCACCGAGGAGGAGGACATGGCCCACTGCCTCATCCTCCTCGCCCAGGGCGCGGCGCCGCCCGGAGTCGTCGTCGACTCGAGGCCGCCGCCCGCGACGGTGCCGCAGGAGGCTCGCCAGGGGACGTCGTCGCTTCCCCCGGCCGGCCCTCTGCCGCCGCCGGCGGTGGTGTCGGCCAAGACGGAGAGGTACACCAGCCGCAAGTACACGGAGGCGGCCACCACGGCGGACGGTGTCAGGGCCGGCTTCTACGTGTACGAGTGCAAGACGTGCAACAAGTGCTTCCCCACCTTCCAGGCCCTCGGCGGCCACCGCGCCAGCCACAAGAAGCCACGCCTCGCCGGAGCCGACGACGACAGCGCCGCCAACGCCACCAGCGTCGCCATCGCCAAGCTGTCCAAGCCACCATCGACGAAGACGGCGACGCCACCGCTGGTGCAGATGACGACGGCCTCGCCGCCACCGCCCCCACCGCCTCAGGTCGACGCCGCCCCGGACGTGACCACCGTGCTCAGCCTCAACAACGGCGGCAACGCCGTCTGCCACGCCGTCAACACCAACAGGCTCCGGGTGCACGAGTGCTCCATATGCGGGGCCGAGTTCGCCTCCGGGCAGGCGCTGGGCGGGCACATGCGACGCCACCGGCCGCTACACGCGCCCGCAGATCGCGCCATCGCAACAACCGCCGTGACCGCGATCGCCGCGTCCACGACGAAGAAAGAGAAAGACAGCACCCCGGCCGGAATCAACCTGGAGCTCGACCTCAACCTGCCGGCGCCGTCCGACGAGGAGTGCGTCTCACACCCTCCACCGCCACCACCACCATCATCGGTGCCACCGGTGGTGCTCGGGCTCGGCCCGTTCGACAGCGGCAAGAAACGGCTGATGCTCACGGCCGCCTCCGCCGCGCTGGTGGATTGCCATTATTAATCCACCGGCACGTCGCATGCAGCTGGCCGGCCTCACGAATTCTTTACTTTTCTTAACTCCGATTGATTGTCCGATCATTCTTCTTCTTCTTCCTCTTCTTCTTCTATACAAAATTACATACTTACAAATTTGCTCCTTGGAACATATCAAGGGAACTGTAACATACAATTGATTCTTTCGATTCTTTGGCGTAAGGTTGACTATAGGAAATTATTGACACTCACATGTATATGTACCATGTAAACACGATCGAGCATGTATATCGGTGCTGAAATATATAAATTGGAATGAAAAAAAAATCCACTTTGTGACCTGTGAGCACAAGAAAAAGGTTTGGCCAGTTGGATCGATCAGTGTGCGTGTGTGTGCATGAGGCCGGCCGAGTGAGTGAGTGAGCAAGTGAGTGAGTGGTGGGGGTTGTCTGAAATGTGATGCAAATTAAGGGAGTGGGTGCAATGTTGTGGCCTACTACCATCCACCTTTTTCTTTTCTTTTCTATATGCTTAGTTCAGCTCTACTAAGTGGCAACTGCCCACATGCAAGTACAAAAAGGCACATTGTTTTTTTCTATTTTCCTACATATATATTGTACAAACTATATTTATTTAAACTTGTAAGTTAATTAATCGATCAATTGATGAGGTGATTAAGCAGCGAACGTTTTCTCCTCTTAATAAACTGTTTGCTTCACTGTTAATCGCATTTAATTTTATTCATCAAGTGGACAGTCGTTTCGAGTGGTGGTGCATGCATGCACGTTTCCTCTTGATCAAGTCAGCTAGTATCTAGTAGCTTGTTGCAGTTGGTTAACTGGGAAAGATATGGATAGTGAAGTAGGCAAAGTTGGAAAGGGAATATAGAGAGGGTACGGTGCAAGCAAAAAGGAGGGCAATTAATTGGAAGGTAGCTAGTTGAGCATGTGTATATGTAGATGCTCCATGTTGGCTAAGCTAGCTAGTGACGCATGAGGTGAGTGTGAGTGTGTGTGGGTGTTGGGCAATTTGGCATATGTCTGCATACATATATACATGCATGTAGTACATGTATCTATATGTGCATATGTGTGTGTATATGGATGGATGACTTGCTACCTAGCTCGTACCACTATCTTTGGGTGGATGGGATGTGTTTTGGATGACTACTCTGTTTTGGATACACTAGCTAGAACTAGTTTGGATGGATGAGATGCGTTTTGGATATATGCATCTTGTGGTTTGGTTTCTCCACCACCAAGTAAATCAAAGGGCCAGCATATGCATCAGGTTCTTTTCCTTGGAGATGAGCTTGTCTTGTTTGCAAGCTAGCTGGCCAGCCAGCCACCTCCTGAATCAAGTTAAGTAATAGGTAGTACAATATCTCAGCAGAAACAGATGACCTAGTTAACATAATTAACCTACCTCCACAGGCTTGCGCTACCTGCCAAGTGCATATAACCCTCTCGTTATAATTAGTGTGTTCTATGTTGTACACATACCCACTTTTTTGTTTGTGATAGCTAGCCAGGCAAATTACCGGACGCCCGGAATAGGATGAAGGTTTCTTTTAGAAAGGAGGATCAACCCCTGGCCTCTATATCGGTTGATGAACGCAAGCATGGATATATTTTGATTATTCAATAATGCCAAGCAAAGCTCAGCGTTGATGTTGAGCGAATCGGATGGAGCTATTATTCTTGAACAAATTGGAATGTCATTTCTCATATGAAGTTATTATGTCTATGCAATAGCCTCAATCCTAGAGAAAACAAGAACATGCAAAACAGACACTTGAGATATCATGACATCCCGAATCCTTATGAACACAATTACTATACTCGGATGACTTCAAGCAATGTCTACATGCATCTTTTTTCAATAAAGATATTTCATTGACTCAAAACACCGCATCGAAGCAGTACAACCATGATGAGTACAAACACGCTTCTGTATAGAAAAGATGCAAATAGCCCAATGAACTCAAAACACATTGAAAAAAGTAAACGTGGCATGGGAAAAAATTAAAAACATCCACCAATTGTATCAAATGGGTAATTTGAAGATTAAAGCATGCCATCCATGTAGGGTAAACATCTTCATGCCCACTTGATCCAACCAGATACATGCCACCGTAAACAACTCTTTGTGTTTCGATTGTTGGAGCATAGATCACAAACATAGTGAGTGTGCACATGAGTGTACCTGCAAGGGGTCGAGGTTTGACCTCCGCCATACCTGAAAACTTTTTCGCCTTCATCCTATATGTATGCAGGCATAGGCGACAACTTCAAAATTCAAATGTGATGTTGTGTGTCTAGTTGCATGTGTTGGCCATACCTCAAAAATCAATCTGCCTTTGCCACTGCTGGAGAGCCAAAGAGTCGAACTTAAAGCTAGGGGAAGACCCTCATTAATTATGGAGCTTTGCTACATTCACGGATAGTTACGGGGCATTATGGGGCTGGGCGCCCAGCCCACCAGTTAAATCAGGGGGAGGCGGTTAATTAGGAGAAGAAAATTAATTAGGCCAATTAAAACAGGATAGCTCAGTAGGCCCGTGAAGTCCGTGAGCCAGGAGTCCGTGCGTGTAGCATTTTTGTTAATTATGCTGGGTAGGAGTGGGGCTCTCAAATGGTCAAAGTGTAATAGAAATTAGAGTAAATTATATGCGCTCTTGTAAAAAAAGTCTAGTTTCTTAATTTTTCATAGAATAGCTCCACTCGATAACTCTTTGCCCCACTCAAAACATATTATGGATTTGTTACTGCATTTGCATTAAGCGGACACCCCTGCTAAGATATGAGATGCGAGTTAGTTTCTTACGTATACCCCTGCAACCAAGTGCCACAAGATATTTTGGTAATAAAAGCATCTCTAGCAAATCCCTCAAAAGCTATATTTGAGAAAAATCGTTCTGAGGGATCAAACCCTAGCTAGAAGATCCCTGAATCATTAGTGCATCAAAAATTGACTTATATCCTTATAAAATCTCCTCCACTTGATTAAATTTAATCCAAAGGAGGCCAGTCTCAGTAAAAGTAGGAAGATGGCCGTGCAGCCCGTGGCCACTGCTGTCGTCGGCCAACCCTGGCCCATCCCAGGTTAAACTCCAAGATTGATAATATAACAGCATGGAACAATAAAAAATTATAGATACGTTGGAGACGTATCACCACCCCCGGCCCATCCCACTGCTGGAGGCCCCGCCTCTTAGTCCTGCCTCCCGCCCCCACCATCTCCGGCGAGATTTCAATGAACTTGTTTCTTTATATTCTTTTTGTATTTTCATCGTCTCTAGCAACAACTGCGCTTCTCCCTGGTATCCTCGACTTGCCGATGCTCCTCCCCATCGGCCGGGCACCGCACAGGCAAAGCTGCAGTGTGGCGAACGAGCATCTATAGAGGAAAATCTCACCTGCATTACACACAAACATGGGCATCGCCGATTCTAATGATTTGATGTGTTTTGGACCATGCCATCGTGCCACTAGAAGAAGGAACAATGGAAGAAACCATTCAGACGAAGAAGTACCCAAATCACGGGCCATGAAGGACGTATTTCACCTGCATTCTCGACTCCTACAGGAGAAAAACCCATTCAGACGAAAAAGTGCCCAAATCACGTGTACGTCATGCCTCAACGAGACTCAATCAAATTATTTTTTCGGGTCGTCTATCCTAGGCCCTAGCTAGCTCACGGACATCATCTAGTGTCGAATAATCTTCGTTGGCCATGTGGAAGGAAGAAGAGAGAGGCTTCCATTGGGGGCCGAGTTGGTTAGCTGAGAAAAAAATTAAGCCCTGAATCGTTTTTTTTAATTATAAGTATGCGGGTTTCAACTTTAAGGATCGGTGGTCTACCGAAGACGCTTTAAATTGGAACTGACAACTGAAGTATTGACCAAAATGGTATGAATAAACTGGAACGGTCTGGCTAGTACTACTCCCTCCGTTCCTAAATATAAGTCTTTGTAGAGATTTCACAATAGACTACATACAGAGCAAAATGAATGAATCCACACTCTAAAATGCGTCTATATACATTCGTATATCGTCTATAATGAAACCTTTACAAAGACTTATATTTAGTAACAGATGGAGCATTACATTTTGCATGGACGAGGTGAAGGTAACTAAAAAGTGAGATCGAGTACGTGATCATGCATGCAAGGTACTCCCTCCGTTCCAAATTACTCGTCGCGGTTTTAGTTCAAATTTGATCTAAAACCACGACGAGTAATTTGGAACGGAGGGAGTATATATGCTTCTGCTAACTTTTGTGTTGTGGCGGCATGGGTACCGGCCAGGTGCTGCAAGCTCGCCTGCATGCTGCAAGTATACTTTTCGTGACATGCACTTTAACTGATCACAGCAGCACAGAAAGAACAAAAGTGAAAGAAAGACATCAAGATCTAGTGGACGCACGGTGCACGCAAGGACGTCCGTGGACGGATGGACGGACGGATCGATGCGGCATGCATCAGTCTCATTCGCATGGTCTCATGCCGTTATTATCCTCACGTGTTCATTTCTCCTTTCTCTCTTGGTAGTTTTAAGCTCCCAGTTTGAACTAGCTACAAGTACTACTACTTCTAGCTAGGAGGAGCTCTAGTACAACGACTTTTAACTGCCAGAGTCAGTCAAGTGTACAAAACTGAGCTATCCATCGGCAGTACGTACCTAATTGAATTGCGTACGGATCATTATCGACTTGCGTGTGGCCACCCTAACCACGTACTTCCTCCGTCCGGAAATACTTGTCATCAAAATGAATAAAAGGGGATGTATCTAGACATATTTTAGTTTTAAATACATCATTTTTTGTTCATTTTGATGACAAGTATTTTCGGACGAAAGGAGTATGTATGTATGTACTTGTATACGTATGGTAGCCGCCAGGCGTATGTGCGTAGTCAATCTCTATCTTATCTTGAGAGTACAAAGCCTTTCCTTTTCATTTTTTCTGCGTTAATTGAGAGTATAAATTTTATTCACACACACAAGATTACTACATACTCCCTTCGT